GAGACCCCAAAAGGAAGCAGACCCCACATGGGGAGGTGGCCATGCTCCCAGCCGACAGAGCCTGAAAAAGGGACAGGCAGCCTACGCAGTCGAGGGCCAGGGGCTCCGTCTTCATGGAGCCCAGAACCATGGGCTCTGTCTGGGTGGCCATCTCTGAGGTGCCGGGGGGGGGGGCCCCAGAGCCCGGGGGGCCCCCCAGGATGGGACGCATCCCCACCCGGGTCATGCCTCTGGTAGGCTGGCTACAGTTGGGACGGTCTACCCTGGGGGGTTCGTAGGCAGGATCTCGGGCCCTCCTGTGTGAACTCCACGCTCACTCATGCACCGGCAGGCAAGCACGCCTGTTTGTGCAGCCTGGTTGCGTGGCTCCCTGGGGGGCTCGGCGAAGTAGGGGCCTGGGCGGGGCTTGACTTGGCCTGGCTCCACTCAGCCACCTCCTCCCACTCAGTGAGGGGTTAACCCCCTCCCACCACAGGCCCCACTTGCCTCCGGCTGTGCTGGGGGTTAGCAGGGGGCTCCGAGGCTGCTGGGGGGTTTCTAGGTGACTTCGGGGGAGTGGGGGTGCGGCGGGCTTTCACCTGCGTGTCTCTCGCCGCTCCGGAGCCACACGTACATGGCAGGAAATGCAATTTTTGGATCACACATTAGATCCAACTGTGCCTTATTACTGGTGTCGGGGGTGGCCTCCCCTGCATCAGGAAGGAGCAGGCTTCCACACATGTGGGCCCAGGTATTTCATGCACCGCTGAGCCTTTGGGATCACAACAACTACAATCCCATGGGCCTGGGATTTCATGCTGGGCTGGCAAGGCTTCCAGCCACCGGGAAGACTCCATCACACATGCAAATTAAAGCTCAATAGCAACCAGCTATTAAGTTAGTACACACTTTTGGGTTCTAACTTTATAGCTGTTTGGAGCTTTTTATTGTGTGATAAGTACGTTGCATAAGTAGCTGGTCTTAAGGTAACTGCATAATTAACCAGTTAATTGTGTGATACCTGTAATGTGTAGAGGGGATGTAGCGAGATTTTTCAACTAAATTCATTGTTATGTCTGAGAATGCCTTCACAAAAATCAGAAGATAGAGTTTCATACTGGGCATTTGGTTAGATGACCGGGGTTGGAATGGAGGTCCCTTCCAGCCCTACTTCTGGAGAACTCTATATGACAAGCCTTTATTTCCTTTAAGCTGGGAAGTGGCAGCACACAATACTTTATGCTCCAAAATTTCATGCTCAGATTACATTTCCAACCCAACAAGTAATTAATTTTGGTATTACACACTACGCTTATTTATACTGCAATAACACTTAACACATTCCAGAAGGTTGGATCCTAAGAAATGCTAACACTAAGTAAAGATAAAAATAGGCAATTTCATTGATGTTGCTTTATGAACCACTATCAACAAATACTTCTTTACTTCTACGACACATACAGAAGTGGTTTAATGGAGGCTAGATGTACACCTTGCTGGGGTCGTCTGACCCCAGTAGTCTTTCCTGCCATGGCAGGGGGTCGGACTATATGATCTACTCAGGTCCCTTCTGACCCTAGAAACTATGAAACTGATGGTGAGAGGGAGATAACGTGATTAAATTAAAACCACATTCCTTTACAAGCAAACAAAAAGCAGCAATATTTTTTTTTGTAACAGATGCACACTGGTCAAGACCATAAGAGACCCTTAGATGATTCAGTGTGACTTCTAGTTGCCATAAACCATTAAGTTTCCCACAGACACTCTCATATTCAGCTCAACAGGTAGTATTTGGCTGAAGTATTCCTTCACATTTTAAAAATTGGAAAGGACAGAGAATAAAAAGGCTTGAAAATAACTGGAATGCAGGAGTCTCTTATAGTGAAAGACTTTGAGAGCTCAATCTGTTTTGTTTCCATGCTCTAATCAAATCAAGTGTCCGAAGTACCTTTTTGAGGAGAAAATATTGGGAAACTATTGGGTAGATATCTAATAGGATTCAATAATTAGAACCTAGCCACCAGATAAATTCATAATTATAAATAATTAAAGCACAATTTATTAACTGTGATGGTGATTAACTTGCCAAACAAACTCTCAAGGAAAGTGGGAGATTTTCCATGCTTGATGTCATCAGATCAAGAATGGAGGCCTTTTTAGGAGATGCTCTTTAATTAAATACGTTACTGGGCTCCACTTGGGTCAAATGAGTAAAATGTAACAGTTACACGGGATCAGGGGTTTTCAACCTTTTTCAGTCTAAGTGTCTAAGTACTCCCAGCAGCTGGATGCCAAGTGGGGAGGCAGGAACAGCATGCGGGCACGGAGCACTGCTGCCTCTCAGGAGCAGGGCCGGGGCAGGGCATGGAAGCTCTCTGGGCTAGGGTGAGGGCAGTGGTGCCCCTCTGCGGTGTGGGGAAACTCACTGGGCTGGCATGTGGCAGTAGCGGCCACTGTGTGCGAGCTTCCATGCCCTTGCCCTGCCCCAGCCCGGCTCCTAGGAGGCACTGGCGCTCTGTCCCTGCCCATGCACACCCCCCAGGACCGGTCCAAGTACCCCGAGGGGTACACATACCCCCAGTTGACAACCCCTGCACTAGATGATCTGATTGTTTCTTCTGGTCTGGTCTTCCTTTCTTAAACACCAAAGTGATAACTTAAAATGCCACGTTTCCAGTCTTTTAGAAGTACAAACTTCATGTTGACACTTGAGTATGTTCTGAATAAAGGATCATTGCAACTATTCTGTCACGCAAGTAGTATTTCCACACAATACATTACAGTGTTGTGGGACTATTGAGATTTTGATAGAGTTCAAGCTTGGCTAAAATTTTATACTTGTCTTGAAAGAATAAAAAACAACAGTCATTTCCCTTCAAAAGACTTGAAATAGGTACCCAAGGTAAAATCCTAATCCCATTGAAGTCGACAGCAAAAGTCACAAGATTTCACTTACTATCTTTTTCCTTCCTTAGGAAAAACATACAACCTTTCTGACATTAAAACTTATAAAAGTACTTCCCCTCTATGTATCCGTTTCCACATTTATTAAATTTGATTAAATGATTTTGTCACGTTATACTGAAATGTGATACACTTACCTGCTGGATGGTTTGCAGTGTAGACACAAAGCAAATGCAGACCTATTTGCATTAAGGAATCATCCATTAAAAACCATGGCCAGAGGCAGTGAAGAACAGGGACAAGGTGAGCCTTAAGTGCTACTGCCTATCAAGAAAATGAGAAGGACATAGTACAATCTTGAATACCATTTTGAAGAATTATGTATTAAAGGATAACACTTAAAAATTCTTTCCTTTTCTTTATACATGAGAAGTTGTTACTAGTATAAGTGAAGATTTAAAAAAAATTTTTCCCTCAGAGAGTTTCTACCTTACTTTGTTACTTTAAATAGCAGTGGAGCCAGAATAGGAACCTTTGGTTCAACATGGAAATGTTTCCTCAAGAAAGATGTTTCAAATGAGCATTTGAAGATTTGACTGAACTTTGCATGAACTTTGACTCTATAAAATTGTCTACAACAATACGTGCTGATATGTGCCTATCAAAGCCCAGATGCTGAAATAGTTTCCACTGATTTAGTAGTAAGTTCTCAGATATATACTTTTAAAACTAAAGGTTGCTTACTAGCAACTAAATATATTGCTTCTGTAAATCTATATTTACAGTCAATACTTCCTAGAAAGCAAGTTTGTTGCCTACAAGTGAAGTTCTTGGGGAGTAAAGTTTATACCACACAATTAATGGCTCCAGACCCTGTCATACTGAAATACACTATGCTGCCCTGCATGTCCCCCTACCAAGTCAGTAGTAGCATCTGCACGTAGAGCTGGCACTGCAATTGAACAGTACAGACAAAAGCAGGGTTAAGAAGGGCACAGCCTCATTTTATAAATTGTCAAACAAGTGGTACAGAACTTCAGTTTTAGGCAGTAATCTTCCTTTCTCCATCACTAAATTATCTCTTCAGATTTCTGATGAAAGAGATTAAGAACAAAAAATTTAGAAGGAGAAGGTAAATGCTAATTAATCATCTGATCTAGTGCCTGGGTTACTGGCGGAGAAAGAAGGATACTAGCCTGCACAAACAGCTACATCCAGTTTTCTGACAGTGGTATATGTCCATTTAAGGATTGTAGGGTTCAAGCCTCATCAAGCCTCAGGCACAATATAGCATTTATAAAGAAGCTGTTACCCTATAGGTTGCAGTGTAGCACCTCTTGCTGCATTTCTAGCATGGGTTCTTGCAGTGCACTGCCCAAAGGCAGCACAAGGTGTAAAACCAGTCCCATGACAATGGAAATGATGAAGGGACCAAGTGGAATGAAAATTCATGAAAGGAGTGAGGGTAAGGAATTATGAACAGGAAAGGAAGAAAAGTAGTAAACCAGAGACACAAATGTACCAAAGTTCAAGGAAAAGGAGCTGGAAATTAAAACATGATGAAGAGGAGAATAAAAGAGAAATTTTAAAAGTACACAGAAGTTAAATTAAAGGAACTGAGGTAGGGAAAAATGCCAGAAAGAACGTAGACCCATGAGCAGGAGAAATGTTAAAAGGCAGAAAAATAGCCAGCTCCACAGGATCAGGGTAGAAATTGTTATATGGTAAAAAGTAAAAGGCACTCAGAATATATAGGTGAAAATGAACAAACTCCTCTCTTTGCTGTAGTCAGTTTAGTTGTTTTTCCTTCAGAAAGGGTAGAGGAAATAGACTGGATGGAGAGGAGAGATGGAAAGAAGTGGCATTTGCTAAGCTTGTAAGCCTCTCCTTCATGTACCTTTCTGTTGTATACCCATGTTCTTCTCCACACCTTCCTACATTATCCATTTTTTCCACTTCAAATGTTTGATTTTTCTAACAAGGGCAAGAAAGAAGGGAAGGAAGCAGAAAAAGGGTATCTAACACATGTAGCACCACAAACTTTTGGACAACCTGCTACAGATATTCAGCATGTTATTTGTCTCAAAAATTGTTGGAAGAAGTTTGTATAAAGTTGTTTTCCATGTCATAGTTAAAAGTCTAACATATGCATAGAATATGCTCTGTTTTAGGTCAGTGAAATTAAAGCTTTTTCACACAGGGCTATTTAGCTGAGCTTTAATCAACATGACAACAGCTGATATTGAACAAACCTGATCTTTATTCTTCAGAACAGTTAACTAACTGCATGTGATCATACCAGCTATGTAATATGACTACTTACTTTGCATTCTTCATTTCTGTAAAGACAGTTTCTTAGAAGCTGCATGGCACCTTTTAATTCTGTGATAAGGCTGTCCTCCTGTATAGACAAAAATATTTAAAGCTTTTCAGTATGAAAGGACTATTAACTTTGTATATAGAACAGGAATATTCCAGGGATCAGGGTTTTCATCTGAAAGTTAGGGGGAACAGAGTTTAGGTACCTTCTCTACCACAGACTTCCTGTGTTATACCATACTTAGCCTCTCAGCTTCCTAACTATAAAATGAAAAGAACAGTTTTTTTCTACCACGAATGGTATAGCAAAGAAAGATAATAAAAGACTGAAAGTTGCTCTGATATTTGGATTCTAAAGTAGAAGGGGGGGATTTAACAGATAAGTATACAGCACATCTGCTCTCATGACCACTCTTAATACAAAGGCACTTCAATCATACCACCATTTAGGACACTGACATGCTAACCACCTGTGAAAGATGATCGTAGTTCTGGGAGCTCAACTACCACAGAAAGCTATTTCTGTTCTCTCAAGCATAAAAGGAACAAAGGTATAAAATAGGGTTCATGCTTCATCTTAAAGTGCTACAGTAATACTTGATTTTAAGTTGTGTCATGTTTGCCAGTATTCAATGATAAAAATAAAGTTTTACTATCACATAGATATGGGCGGATGAAGTGGACGGAAATATGCAGGTTATTTTTTTAAGAGATTGTTGTACCAAGTTTTCGTCTCATTTTTCATAGGATCATAGGAAAGTAGGGCTAGAAAGGAGCTCACAAGGTCGTCTAGTCCAGCACCCCACTCATGGCAAGAAACACCTCTAACTAACTTTCAGTCAGAAAGATCGTTCTCGTCTCCAACCTGTATTTTCTCTGGGGCAGCTTAGGTCCGTTGGTCTTAGCTCTATCCCATACAGCCACAGAAAAAAAGCTCAGCTCCATCCTCTCTATAATTGTATTCTAGGTGTCTGAAGACCATCATCAACACCCCCTCCCCTCCTGTCTTCTTTTCTTCATACTAAATAACCTTGCTCTTTCAGCTTTTCCTCATAAGTTGTGCTTTGGAGGGCCCTAATCGTTTATGTCGCTCTGCACTGGACTTTTCCAGTCTGTCCACATCCTTCTTGAAGCATGGAGCGCAAAACTAGACACAGTACTCCAGGTGAGGCCTCAGCAATACTGAAGAGAAAGAAAGAATCCCTTCCCTTGATTTGCAAGAAGAGACATTGCTGTTAATACAACACAGTACATTGTTACTCTTTTTTGCAACAAGAACATGCTCAGCTCATATTTATCTTATAGTCCACTATAAACCCCAGGCACTTCGCAGTACTACAGACTAGCAAGTCATTCCCCGGTTTGTATTTGTACATGCAACTATTCTGTCCCAAAAGCAGCACTTTGCATTTGTCTTTGCTGCATTTCATCTAGCTCATTATACAAAATACACTAAAACAGCCAATGAAAAGTTGCCACACAATTCTATAGGGACTATGTAACTATATTTAAATAATAAATCCAATCTGCAATCTGCTTTGCAAACGCCACATTTAAAATGAACGCTGTATGGATATTACTGACAACTGGCTTAAGCTGTCTGCAGGAAAAGGCCTGTTTATAGCTTTTTCTATCTAATTAACGCTCATTTCATTGTTACTCAGAGCACACATAGCCTGTGCTCAGGTGTTTGCACCTCATTTAAAGTCATAACAATAGGTGCAAGGCATAGAGAGCTTTGCTTCTAGTAGCAGTCTTGAAATGGACAGGATCTAGCCAATTGCCTGGCTGCTATTAAAACACAGACACCATTTTAGATAGGCCACAAAGATTAACCATGTATGTATTTCCTGATGGCCAAATGAACCTGCTATTCAGCTGAGCAAACTCTATAATGCTCAGCTGAAATTTTGTTTGGTTTATTGTATAAAGCAGGGGTCAGCAACTCTTATGCAGGAGAGATCTTCTTTGTTGAAAGAGGACGATTTTCTCTCAGATCTGGCACATTTCCTGTGAAAGAAACTGCATGAATACCTGTATCCTCCCAGTTTCTAGAGGGAGAGAGGCATTTCTCTCACTAGAAATGTAACAGACCAGAGAAGGGAGGTAGTAAAGTTCCTGTAATAAAGTAAAAGAGAAACAGAAAGAAAACAGCATCTACAATAGGTACTTTTATGTTCACTGGCTATGCAAGGAGACTGGATGCAGGGGGTAGGGAAATATGCAGGGAGTGGGATTACGGGGGAAATTGTGGCTTGATAGTGAAATCGAACAGGAAGTCTAGGATTAGCTGGCTAAGGAGAATGGAATAAAACAAGTTTGGGCATCAGATGTTGATTGGGCAAGTGTGGTGAACAGCACTGCACTACCTGGGGCAGGTAAATTAGGGTCACACACGATCAGGTTGGAGGAGACTAGATAGAAAGAGTCAAACTTTGGTTGAAATACACATAACATACTGAGCACATGAATATATCCCTTTTAGAACCTGACATCAAACCCAAAATTCCTGTTTTCATGTTCTTTGCTATGAGAAAAATAAGTGAAATCTAATGTCAGTGTGTGTGTTATCACCTGCTAGTATTGGTTCATAGACAGTGAAAGCCTACTATTTCTCTCATAGCTCCATCAGGTCTGTGAAGTGAAGCTAAAGGCTCCAATCCTGACTATGACCCATTCTGTTAAGATGATGCCACAAGAATTTGGAATGTGTTTTTTTTTTCCATTTTGTTATTTAACATGCCTCCATGCCCAATTCCCCTCCCATTCCAAAAAAGAAAAAAACCTTAACAAAACTGCATTAAAAAAATAAATTGAAAGATTGCAAAATCAATTCTTCAAAAGTTGGAAAATTCCAGAATGACTGTGGGACCTTAATTTGGAACCTGTTGCCATGCATATGATGGTCTTTAATTTCATGATTACATACTGGGGTTTTTTTGTTAGGTTTTTTTTAAACAAGAAATCTGTCTTATGCTCTGTGCATGATGGAAATGCTCCTTGGATTAGCCATGGATGTACTGTAAAAAAGTTGGTGGTAGCTCCCTTTCATTATTTGTTGGAAGGTCTTTAGGAAATGAAGCAGGTGACTGCAGAATAAGGAAAGATTTCCACTTTCTCAGGGCAACATTGAGCTGTCTTAAGTGAATCACACTCTATCTTTCCTTCTCAAGAGGTTAAGCAACTAAAATTAGGTGACAATCAGAGGTCCATCTGAGTTCCTTCTCTCTATAAAGATGCAGGTGTTCCATTAAAAAGCCAACTATTTACCAACTATTCATTTTCAAGAAATCATATAAAAAGACTAATCTGCACAAATGCCTTCTACAATTACAATCGTTTATTTCAGCCTGATAGATTTTAGAGTTACCTTCTTCTTCTGTGTGGGTTTTCCAGGCCTTAGGGAATCTAGGTTCAGCTGCGCATGAATGCGCTTCATCTGTTCGATGCAGCTGTCTATGAGGTTAGCTGAAAGACAAAATCCCTACATGGTTTATAACAATATTCACATTCAAAAGTACCAAATCATGCCTGTGAGAGCGTAAGGTATTTTATTTCAAAACAACTTTTCAATTATTTGTTTCCACATAGCAATTAAGGTTCTCTGTATGAGGGAAAAAATGAAAGAGTAAAATCTAATTCATCTCGTTGCTCAAGACATCCAGGAGTATAGAACAATTCAACTGGCAACCAAAATTATTAATTTATCTTCAATACCTACAGCCAATTTGTAAATGCATTAATAAAAAAATGGACAAGGGTCTAGTAAAATCCACTAATCAGAAAAGGCCACAAACTGTTGGAGAGTAGAACACCTGTTTGCATTCTCTCTGCTACTGAAATACATGTGTTGAGGCATGTGGTCTTACTACAAGATTAGCTTTCATTTTTTTCCCTTGAAAAAAACAAACAAAAAACAACTCCCCCCCCAAATCTGTGTGGCACACATTTTCTGAGAAAATTTTTTATGTGCTAGGTGTTAACAACTGTACTTAACCTAACAGCAGTGGGTACGCAATGCAACCTCTTATATTTTATATATAGAATGCTCTTCATCTCGAAGAAATCTAACAGTGCTTCATAGATTTCAAGTGTTATCAATCTATTGCAATAAAAAGGAAAATAAAGATAAAAGAATTATGTTGTTTACCTACAAAGTACAGCCAAGCTACCTTTGGGATGAACAGTGACAAACTCTGTAATAGCATACAGAAATACTATGCAATGGTTTAGGGCAATGCATTAATAACATTTATTATTACTAATCTTTGAGTTCCCCAACAAAGTACTAGATCCTGCTTTTTCCCCAGCACCCAGCAGCAGCTTCTGCTGAGCCACTGCTGCTTATCGGGGCTGGGACAGGCAGATCTGGAGTGAGTGCTGCAGGGACCCCAACCCCCCTGCATGGGGCAGGTTGGGGCTGCACGCTCAGCCCAAGGCTTGGGCCCTGCCTGGGTGGGACCTGTTTAGTCTCCACACAGCCAGGGCAGGGGGGAGCAGCAGCTGGAAGGAGCCATCACTACCAGGGCTGCTGGGAAACGTAGTTTGGCTGTGGAGCCACCCCAGCCCCGCTACGCACCCAGAAGTGGCAGGATGCATCATGGGCCGGATGGCAGGACAGAGAGCTGCCACGGGCAAGACAAAATCCCTCCGTGAGCTTTATTTTGCCCACCCCAACCTAAGTAACACAGTAGGCAAATGCTACTACTGTGCACCTCCTGAGGCAACTACTAGGTTCTTCATCTATCCAGCCCAGTCTGCAGATGCTCTTGAATGCTTTGGAAAAGAGCACATCAACGTAGGAAAAAGGCATGTTTAGATGCATGTCTTGCATGCATGGATCAAAATTAAAGCTGTAATTAAAGTGTAGACAAAGGTTAGAATGCAGCTTAAAGATTAAGACCTTTAAAGATTAAAAAGCTGTAAACAGCAAGTTTACATAAATATTCTTTTACCATTAACATTTGTCATTTATTAGTAATGTATTTAAATTATTAAAACAACTTTAAGGGTACATCCTTGAAAGCTGAATGTTTTTTCTTAATGAGAACAAAAGGTCCTAGAATACTGTGACTGCTTAAAAAGGACACAAAGTAATAGTCTTGTTTTATCACATGACCCATATCAAATAGTTTGAAGATTTCTGAAAAGATAAATTAGATGCATTAAGCATGAACAACCTTAAAAATTAATATTCCTGTCTTTGCTTTCCTGTTTTTGGCGTTTTTTTTCCAAAAAAATCTTTTATTTATCTTTTAGAATTAAAAAGAGAGATCAAATATTTCATTACTGTCTCTCTTAGTCTGCTTTCATGTTTTAATCATGCTGTAGGGTTTGAAGGCTAATCAAAGTACAATAGAAGCATCTACTGAAGCTCATGAACTCTACAGTGATATTAAACACTTCAAAAGGAAAATTAGGGCATAATTCTGGAAACTGGTAATGATCTACTAGGACTTTTTTCCTAACATTAGTTTCTATGATTAATTAAAAATTATTTAAAAAAAAAAATCAAAGTTGTAGAGTTTCAATATTTACTGTGGATTAATTGATGCTTAAATCACTGACGTAATACGTGATGTAGAGGAAGTGTAATGAACAAAATTTTGGGAAAAGTCATTAACTCGTGTTTTATTGGAAGGAAACACCCCAATATCACGTTCTGAGTGGTTTCATTTCATCATGAGAATGCAAAATATTGAGTATTACAACATAAATACATTTTTTAATATATTGTGAATGCTATAATACAATGTTTATATATTATAATATTCTGCAAACTGCACAGGCTGCCAGAATTCTGAATCATTTCTAGAAATGTTCTTCCTTTTCGTGTCCTTGTTAGAAGGTATTTATATGTGATGGAAAGGCAATAACAGTGCAAGTTGTCCAGTGATTACCCTTATCCTGGACCAGGTCATTCCCTCTGGAATCATGAGAGGGTAGTTTAACCCTTTTAACTAGTTGTCTTTGTATCCTTTATGGTATTTGTGGCATAGGAGCAGTAAATGCCTAGCTGGGTGGTAAACTGTGTAAACACTTATGCACTGGACACTGAACAGTAACCATCATACTTATTTTACAGAGGCTGCTGTCAGATGTTCACTACTGACTTTGGATGGATAGTTGTATCACTTTAAATGAAATTCTGTGAGTTGAAACTTCATGGCAACCTTATTGGCAATATTTGATCCCATCCAGAAAGAAAAGAAACTACAACTTTTCCAAAAAGTTGTCAGGCTGTACTGGATAATACTATTCATTTATTACTGTAAACTTCACTAATTCAGAATGGATTTGCAAACCAACTAACCAAAAAAAATGCAAAGTAGATCCTCAAAAGCAGTATTAAAACAAAATCTTAAATTCTAGGCTGAAAAAAAATGTAAGATGCACTGGCAAATGTTTCATTTAGAGTACAAGGTTACTTTAAGCTCACCTTGCAAGGCACATTTCTGTGTAGTCTTACTGATAGCCAACAGTGTCAGTAAAGCACTTGCAGAAACTCGCTTCAGCATGTCCTTAGAGGATTTTCCTTCATAGCTCTGCAAATAATGCAAGATTCATCACCACATTGGAAAAGTACAACAGATCCTGGAGAAATGTTCATGTTGAAAGTAATGTTTATACTTACAGAAGTGATGCAACATTTCAAATTCTCATTCTAATGACAGACTAATATGCTCCTGTCCCCTACATATGAGGGATTAACCCAAATTACAGATGATTCACCAATTTCTCCAAAATATTCTATCATTTTTTCAAACAAGGTAAGAACTGAATTTCTCTCTTTTCACTCCATTCACACTTCCTTTCCTTTCTCGTTACTCCCCCAAAACCCATTTTCTTTTTTGTTACTCATGTTCTCAACATGGATCTCCTATGGAAAAATGTAATCCTCTTTCTCTAGCAATGACATCTTGCTCCCATTCTTTTACTGGCTTCCAACACACTTTCTGCAAGATCAAGGAATTAGAAGTCTTTATTAGATATTAATGCTTGAGAATGTCTTGAGAATAATAATAAACTATTGGAGCACATTTTTCCAGCTACCAAAAATATATATTTTTTAATCTTATGTCGTACAAGACATAAGATGGTTCACTGCAGTTCTACCAACAGTAATAATGCAAATAATTGGAAATTAGACTTTGACTTCCATAGATCCATAGCACTTTACAGAAGTTAAACAAATACTCTAATTTTTCAACCCAGTCAACCTCATCAACTTAATGGAGAGGACACTTGATTATAAAATCAGTTTCATGGCGAAGAGTGGTCTCAAAGTCAACCACATCACTTGGAGCATGAAGTCTCCTGAGCAATGGTCCCTCAAATATCAACCCAAATTAGTGTGGAAACTAACTGAAATATATATCTATTATAATCCACAATCAGCATATTGCAATTGAGTGAATAAACTTTAATATTTTTATCAATAAAATGAGAAGTACTTTAATAAAAAAAATCATAGGATGTAGGGCACATTCTCATGACCAGGCACCTAATAGATTAGACCCGACTATTTCCATCACATATATCTGCCTCTATTAGCTTTTGTCCTTTAGCTGGGAATACTCAAATAAAAAACATATTTTTTTCAAACTTTAATGTGCAATAAAGCAACAACATTTGCTCTAGCATTATAATAATTTACCAAAATCTGGATTCAGACAGGACTAAAAAGGTCAAAAGATGAAAATCAATATTTTTAGTGCAGAAAAAGAGTCCAAGTGATATGGGATTAGAACAGATTAGATCACAATGGTACAGAATGTGCAAAATGGTTCTATAGTCTATATACTATTAATGTAGAGTTAAAAAATATAGATAGCAATAGATAGCCAAGAAAAAATGTTTTACAATAAAATGGAAGAACAATATGCTTTAAGAACAGAGTGACACAAGGATAGTACTATAAGCATAGCAGGCAAGATAGAAGGGCAATCTTTTTTTGCTAAGACCTCAGTAAGTGAAAATCTAGAACAAAGTTATTGCTTATGTACAGCTACAATAACAACTGAGAACAGATTTAACATCCCTGGGGCTAAAATATGATAATAATGTAATTCTTATGAATAAGGGAACATTTTAGTTGGTCAAAGAAATTACCAAAGAAAGGAGAAGTTAATGCAGCAGAGTACTGCAAGTCATCTTAGATGCTCATAAGGCAAATAGGGAGAAATGGGAGCTAAAGGAAAACAATTTCAGCTCAATCCTTATAAATACTGGCACTAGGAAATCAGAAGCAGATTTTCTAAGACACCAAAATGATTATGTACTCAATTCCCATTGAAATTCCTTAATTTTCTTTTCTGCTTTTTGCAAATTTCTCAGTAAGGAAGTAGACAAATGAAAAATTTACTCTGAGGTAACCTAGGGAATAAACTTACACCTCTATGGTATAGTAACTGCCTGTGGACACACTCTTGCTCCACCATATAGTGTGGTAGTGGATGGGTCCTTCTCGACCTGGAAGGACGTGGGAAGTGGGGTCCCACAGGGCTCGGTCCTTGGGCCCGCCCTGTTCAACATCTTCATCAGTGATTTGGATGAGGGGGTGCAAAGCACCCTGTTCAAGTTTGCTGATGACACTAAGATGTGGGGGGATGTGGGCACAATTGAGGGGAGCAACAGGCTACAGTTGGACCTAGATAGGTTACAAGGATGGGCGGAGGAGAACAGGATGGGGTTTAACACGGACAAGTGTAAGGTGATGCACCTGGGGAGGAACAATAGGCACCACACATACAGGCTGGGGAACTCCCCTCTTGTCAGCACGGAGGTGGAAAAGGATCTGGGAGTCATTATTGACTCCAAGATGAACATGAGTCGGCAATGTGGGGAGGCGGCTAGGAAGGCCAACTGCACCTTGTCGTGCATCCACAGATGCATCTCGAGCAGGTCCAAGGAGGTGATCCTCCCCCTCTATGCGGCACTGGTCAGGCCGCAGCTGGAGTACTGCGTCCAGTTCTGGGCGCCGCACTTTAAGAGGGATGTGGACAGCATCGAGAGGGTCCAGAGGAGGGCCACTCGTATGATCAAGGGACAGCAGGGTAGGTCCTATGAGGAAAGGTTGCGGGACCTGAACCTGTTCAGCCTTCAAAAGAGAAGGCTGAGGGGGGATCTTGTGGCCTGTTATAAACTGGTTAGGGGGGATCAGCAGGCGCTGGGGGAGTCCCTGTTCCCCCGAGCGCCGCAAGGAGTGACCAGGAACAATGGTCACAAGCTGGCGGAGGGAAGGTTTAAGTTGGACATCAGGAGGCGCTACTTCACGGTCAGGGCGGCTAGGGTCTGGAACCAGCTTCCAAGTGAGGTGGTGCAGGCTCCCACCCTGGGGGTTTTTAAGAGGAGGTTGGATGACCACCTTACTGGGGTCGTTTGACCCCAGTACTCTTTCCTGCCATGGCAGGGGGTCGGACTAGATGATCTGCTCAGGTCCCTTCCAACCCTAGAAACTATGAAACTATATACAATATTCCCTCAATTAGAACTTTCAGTAATCCAGTAACATATGCACACCTTAAGTCATCAAATGGGGACTCAGTGGGGGAAAACAGGCTGGGCTTGATACACCTTCTGCTAATACAGTAAAGGATAAAAGGGGAACAGAGTTATGGCCAAGTTCCTGTCCTCCCCAAACCCAAACTCATCAGGGGTGTCAAACATACAGCTCACAGGTCAGATCTGCCCTGCAGAGCCTTGCCACCTGGCCCCCAGCACTGCCCCTGGGTCTGATCAGACCCACACAGAGGACAGCATGTATTCATGCCACAGGGCTGGTCAAAAGACTGGATTGGATCCCAGAGCAGCTGGAAAGGGTGCTGCATGCAGCACAGTCCACTTAGAGCAGATGCACACCAGACATGGTGGCTGCTCCAGACCGTCTGGGACCCACACTGAGCATAGTGTTTGCAGACGCTCTGTTCAGCACAGTCTGGCCGGGGCAGCTACAACATGCAGTGCGGCTGCCACTCTGGATTGACTGCACCACACCACTCCCATTCCAGTTGCTGTGGGATCTGTACCACATGCAGCATAGGTCCCAGATTGGCTGGACAAGCTGCTGTATTTGCAGGGGTTGGCGGGGAGGGGTCCATTGGCCCATGGACCAGCCCCACACCACTCATCTGGCCTACAGGGCTGCATGAATTTGACATCCCTGCCTTAAATGGTATGTAATTAACACAACTGAAAAACCAACATCCTAGGCAATGGGAGGAGTATAGCTAGGACATTAAACCAGGAAGTCGTAAACGCTAAGCAACTCTTGCAACCAACTAAAAGCTTCCTTCCTAAACTCTAAGGTAAGTGGAAGAACATTATTGTGGCTAATTCAAAACTTGCAGAGCCCTAAATCTATGCTATAGGTTCAGATTCCAACTAAAGGACACCAAACAAAACCCATAAATAAACCCAATACAGTGGATAGCTGATGGAATCAGACAGAGTCATATCACTGAGTAATCAGTTTTCCACATATCCACCGTACTGGAAAAGAGATGTAAGAATTTTTTTCCTGTTACAGAATCTTGGGATACATGAATAATGTATTATAAAATGTTTAAACCTTAGTGATCTTTATTTGTTACTAGTTTCCTCAATTTACCCATTACATTTTGACTTGCATCTTAAATGGCCAGAGAAGGAGCTTTTGCAATCCATCCACTCATTTGCAGGTCACACCTCTGAACCCACAAAAGGGATGTCTTCACTCACCTCAGTGCCGGAAGCTGCAATTCTTGTTGCACAACCACAGCCACAGCTTCAGTGTCTGGGTACAGTACTACTAAAAAACCATTTTGGCTCCAACTTGGGCTTCTTTGATCCTTCTGAGAAAGTCATAATTAACCAGCAGGGCTGGCAGTTAGCTAACTTTCTTTCAAACAGGAAAGAAAGTATGGGCATCTAGGATTTTGGCACTCTTTCTGCTAATAATTGCATACAACTATACATGACTATATGACTTAGGAATTTGGGTTATACTGCAAAAGGAAGTACTCAGTCCCCACTGCTAGAACTTAGAACAGTACTTCCATTTGGCCTTTCACTATTGAGGGTGCAGCATTTGCCACAAATTCTCATTAGTGAGGAGGATGATATTGGCTGGATCAGAAACTCTGCACAGAAGGTCTCACTGTTTGGGGGCCATCTCTGAAGTGACTGATTTTTTGATCTTAACAATCTCTACAAACCCCACAAAGAGCTGGCACTGGCGTGTCCCTGACTGTAGCTCCTCTTGATATTGCAATGTGATGACCTGACCAGGATGCCTTACTAGGAGGAGAGATTTCCTTCCTAAAGGAGATTAGGTTTTTTTTTTTTTTTTATTTCTATGATGGGGACCACAATGTCACCAATACAGCAATGATGGCATCCTATATAAAAAGAGTATGGTCACGCACAAGATGGTGGGACCAACTGCAGTAGATCACTGTCAGATGAGTCTTATAGCAGAAGCTGAGGTGTTCCAGCAACATCAACAGCATCGGTAAGAGGGTTCTTTACTCAATAATGGGCATATTTCTCCTGCCCAATTACTATGAGTAGTAAATTTTGTTTAAAGGCAGTACTGTCACATACTATGCCCTTGGTACTAGTCTTGGGTGGTGTCAGTGTATTTAGGTACCAGTGATAAATCTGATAGTACCATAGAATAATCTTACTCACAAAAGCCAAGTTTGGTACTGAAGTGTCAGGGGAGCCAGCACTGTTGTTTGAGGAGTCTGCTGCATTGCTGACTTATCCTTCCCGTTAGCTATCATAGCTGAGTGTGCTTAGAAGACGTATACTGTTTGTCAAGTTGTACAAATCTGGCGCTCTTTATGTTAGGGTCTGTGTAGACCTTTACAGAAGACCCTCAAGGCTTATGCATGCTAGCAAAATATACCAAGAAATGTACATTTGTAGAGGCTTCAAAACTGGCTGGAGAAGGGGGAGCTTGAGACCATACAGCCTGTTACACAGAGCCTGCAGAGATTCAGGTGAGCTAAACTTGCCCTGGATGACACTACAGGTACAGCAGTCACTAAAAACCACTACAAAAGTACATTTGTCCATGCCCAGAGAAGCATATTGTGCAAGTTCAGTTCAGAATGTACAAGACAGGGGAATTCCCCAAAGGACATACAAAAATCACAGAAGGCTAGAAGCAGTTTGAAAATCTGAAGAAATTAATCTGAGCTAAGAAATAACAGTTTGCATTTGTGCCAGACTCTATTTTGTTGCTATGCAGGAGTTAAATGGCCATTCTCCTCTTCATGTCATCCACTGGGAACACAAGGAGGGATAGAAGACTTGTATAATGCTAAAGGACACTGCTATGCAACATCTGATCTTGTGTTCCTGCATAGCTACACTGGAACTAACTCTACCACATAGTTAAAAAAAAAAAATCACCATTTTGCTTTGTGGTAAAATAATGGAATATTAAAAAGAAAAGTCACTAGACATTTAGATATCAGAACAATATGAGGAATAAACCACAGGAGTTTATAAAGAACAAATGTTAACAGACAAACCTATGAAACAAACCAATAAATGTTGGAATTTTGGTTTTAGTAAATCATTTAGTGTATTTTTTCATTTAATATTACTATTGCTATCAAATACACTGTGACAAACTGCAGGTAACTCAGAGCAGGGCAATGAAAATTATTATGAAGCTGAAAGGATTGACTTGAGAGGCGAAAGAAGTTAAATATATAGTACCATATACATCTTCTGAGTCGTGAGCAATGAGAGACATTTTACCGGTCTATAAATAACTGAAGGGTGTAAATATCAAGGAGAGAAAGGAATTATTTAAGGAAGAACAAGAAAGTCAAAATAGGAATAATGAGGTGACATTAAGAAAGAAAAAACACTTAGGTTGAATATCAAGAAAAATGTTCTGTCAGAGAGATCTGTTAGGCTGAGGAAGAGTTTCCCCAAGGGAAGAAGCAGAAGTTCAGTGCTTGGCAGATTTAAAACTAGACTGGACAATGCATTAATAAATATTTTGTAAACAACAATACTGCAGTAGCAGGAGATGGACTGAAGACCTAATGTTTCTTCTTGATCTCTAATTTTTAAGATTATGGTTTGCTGTTTAAGGGTACATCTACTGTTGACATTTAGAAGACAAAAAAAAATCTGGTGGTTTTGATGCTTACAAATCCCTCTGAATAACAGGATGAACAAATATTTGAAATAGTACTTTGCATTTTATTTACATAATTGTATTCTGCATATATAACACTATCTTGACATGTCAGTTAAATACTGTATTCTTTACTCCTGTCCTGAGCTACTTTGTGGTACTGTAGCATAGTGTTGCAGTATAGTGCTAATTAGTGGTTTTGAGGGACAGATATATAATAATACTGGGAGTATGGTGCAGATCTATGCCACGTACACTTTATAAATTAGTAGATTTAATGTGCTATGGATTTGAATAGATAAATGTAGTTCTCAGGTAAGATTGGTCAATTTTTTTTAATTAGACTTCAGTGTCATCATATACTAAAAAACCAGAACAGGCTCAGACATGTAATCAAAACAATACCACTGTATCATTAGTTAAATACATAAAACTTATACCTTAATTAATAGTTCATTAAGTTGGGTTACTGATGCCCGACTTTCCGCAGCTTCATCTAGAAGAAAAGTAATTGTTGGGTTCTTGCAAATATTCTGTTTATCTTGGAGCTGTCTTTTCCCTTCTTCAGCCAACAGAATGGAGAGGAATTGCAAACTGGCCACATATAAGTCAGGGCACATGGTAGACAGACGCACGCAATCACAAACTGTATCTAAAAGGTTACATAAAAAAAAGAAACACATTTAGCACCAAAAAAAGCTCAAATATTTCGGAACAAGAACAGATAGGCCACCACTTGAACAACAGTTTTTGGGGTTTGTTTTTTGGGGTTTTTTGCATCAATGGCCGTTTTTGCACTTGTTCCTCCCCACTACCCACCATCATGGAGGTGACATATGGGGCTGCTGCCCTGGTCACGCCCCCTGTTACACTACTTTACACACTAAACCTCAGCTACATTGAGTACTACCAATGAATATGTAGGTTTAATGTTTTGCATTAAACCTGCATAGGAAGAAAAAATGAGTATTAAAACAGCTTAGTTCATGAGTGCCAAATATATAGCACATGGGCTGGATTCAACCCAGAGATGCTCCATCCAGCCAACTGGTGAGCTAGAGAAGGTGAGACATGATCTGCTGCAGCATTTGGAACCCCTATGGACATGGCCCTTTGTGGCAGGAGGGTAAGCAAAGACTTTGATGACACAGTCCTGCTACCCTGAAGACTGCTTGACCCATTGCAACAGCCACAGCAAGTGTCCACTTTAGGTTAGAACTCTGCATTATACCAATGCAGTGATTCTCAGCCAGGATACCATGGTACCCTAAGGTGCCATGAGCACTATTAGAAGTGCAAATCCTACATGCAATTCACAAGATCAACTAAGAAATTCCTAATAGAAATGCACAGTGTTAAAAACATTCTGATCTGTTGTGGTCATTCTGAGTGCTTTGTAACAGAGAAGTTGTTCTTTTATTTTGATTTGTCCAGTCAAAAAAAAATGAGTGAAAGCTAAGAGCTGGCATTTTCCAAGGAGTGCCCTGAGTCTAAATGTGCTAATAACAATCACAGTCAGATGCTGTTACTGGAGATTTACTTTGTTAGTCCGAGATTCATCAAGTTACTTGGTAGATATCTAAATTGAGCCCAGACTTTAAATGCAACTGCTCTCGTATGTGAATGTAGATGTGCTTGAATACTTTGCTGAATTTGAGCCTTAATTCTCAGATACAAGCAATACAAGTAACATGAATAAACACTCAAATTGAGTAAGAAAAGCTTATGACTTTGACAAATATTTTTCAAACATTTATGTTTCCAGAGTACAACTAGAAAACTTATACTTGTTAGAAAAAGATAAATACAACATGACAGTGGCTTGTTTCCATCATTAATTAAAGCTGACTGATTTAGCCAAAATTTGCAACTGACAACTGTTAAAATACATACATTACAAACACATTTGTAAATCAGAATAGAACAACAGGATCATAGAAAATTAGGTATGGAAGGGACCTCAGGAGGTAACCTACTCCAACCCCCCTGCTCAGGACCACCCCCGACTATATCATCCCATCCAAGGCTTTGTCTACCCAGGTCTTTAAAACCTGAGAATAACATCTGCAAGACTACATTACTAAATTACTAAAATCATAAAAGAAAGTTATAAAAATTTAAAAAAGGGGTCAATATATACTTTGCCTCTCCTAACCATAAAGCAAATACAATTTATGTTTATTGTTACAGACATGTCCTCTGAAAATACTTGTTAGCATCTAATCGGAATTCATGCTAGTTTGTTATTAGCTGCAAGGTTTAAACCTATCTAAGAATAGGTGTTACCAATTATTGCAGTCCAATGATTTGCAAGAGCTGCTGTCACAGATGGAAGAGAGATTTGGCCACTTTTCCTTAACAATGTAGCCAGAAGGCTAAACAAGTCTGTCCATGTTTGGTGAAGAGCAGATGTTAACTCAGTATCTACAAATAGAACATACAAAGTTCAAGCTAATAACACCCACATGCAAAACTGGATATCTAAGTTTGATCATACAGATTTACATTTAAAATAAAATGTGATGGCATTATCAAAAGCATTTATTTCCAAAATGCTGTGGGGAAACAGCTTAACAAAGACAGAGTAAAGGTGAATGGGAAACATATACCATACACTCCTAAAATATTAGTATGCAGAAAAGAAACTAGTAACTTTACAACTGAATGCCTAATCTTAGGAAACATGGTATTGATTTTGCTAAATAAAAAGTTGCAACTGTTTGTCTACAGTACAGATAACTATATATTACCCAAGCCATCCTTAGCAGATATAGAGAGGATCATGAACACATTTTCTAAAAGAGGTTTCAGTAGCTCATCTTGGATCACAAGCTGAATATCTACTAATAAGCATGACTGCAGAAGCCTGGATACTGATGATAAATACTGAAGCAGCAACAAAACCTGTTAAGCATAATAAAAGGGACTCAGAATTAAGCTGTAGTTTTGCACCTGCATTACCTCAGAAAATACTACATTATGTTACTTAATACCCCCTTCTGAATGAACACACATGCACACATCTCAATTATACGTATCAAATATATATAATTAAGATACATATCAACTAGATGTGAAAAAAGAATGAATAGGGCAGACACCAAAAAGAACTAGTCTTAGTTAAGTATTTTGATAAATGCTAGAAAATTCCTACTGCCAACATTTGTATGAAGTCACCTGCACGAAATCTAAAGCAGAAATGTTGATAAAAGAATACATATGTATCCAGAAAACAGCAATCTTCTTTTTTTTGCAAAATATGTCACTGTTATTTTCTTTCAAAGGTGATCCAATCAATTATGTTTTTGAATGTTTAATAAATTTCTCTCTAAAGTCTTTTGATTGTTTCTGGAAATTTGCACAGAATAATACAGAATAAATTCTATAATGAGAACACCACAATTCTTTTAAAGTTATGTGGACACTAAGAATATTTTTAAAAACCCTATTTTCCTGGATGTAATTCAGGTGCTGTAGAAAGCCTTGGTATTTTTTTAAATGATGCAATAATATTCAACTTGTTGGAAATGAGTGAAGAGGAGAAAGACCTGGGTGTACTGTTTGATCAGAGTACACACCAGTTAAAAGTGGGATGCAGTTATTAGGGAGGCAAACAGGATCATAGAAAAGTAGGGCTAGAAGGGATGTCATAAAGTCATCTACTCAGCTGTCTCTAGGTAAATTTTCCTAGCATGAAAACAAACCTGGGAGAATTCTCCCAGATCATTTGAGCATGTGTATGCAGCCACTAATTACCAAAACCGTAGAAAATATTCCAGATGAACCATCACCAGTGACTTTTACAATAGTACTCCTTTCTCCTCTCCTGCTGTATCCTAAAACTGCATTGACTGGTATAGTGTAATCAGGGGGTGATCCTGTTCTAAGCAGGCAGCTGGACTAGATGACCTCAGGATGTCCTTCTCCTCTTCACTCACTTTCAGCAGATGGGCTACAAGCACACAGCATAATTTTTTTTGTTACTAAATAACTCTGTATTTTGTCCTACTGAATTTTACTTCATTCTGATTACTCCAGTGCTCCATGTTATGCAGTTCTTCCTGCATTACCTAATCCTCCTCCATACTGAGGATGTCTCCTGGTTTTGTGTGTGTCATCCCTCTTTCCAATATTTGTTCAATTATCTTTTGTGAAAATAAGAGTGGTCCTAAAACTAATTCTTGAGGAATTCCATTAATATCCTTTTTCCGGCTTGATGCATCTTTTTTTAAAACACTACCCATTTTTATCTCCCATGTGGCTACTTTTCAACCCATATAAGAATACTTCTGCTAATCCCCATCTTCTCTAGCTCCATAACAATTTCTCATACAGCATTACATCAATTGCTTTAGTGAAGCCCAGAGAGATTAAATTTACCACTTTTTCTCTGCATAAAAAAATCAGCTATCTTGGCAGAGAGCACTGTAGAAGGGTCTGGCATAATTTATATTTCATAAGTCATTGGTATATATAGCATCAATATATAGGATGTTTATAAAGTCCTTGTACAACTTTAAACTTGAATAACTTTGGATGTACACATGATAGAAGCAAACTGTAAATGGTGATTGAAAGAATAATTCATTAAGGTTTTTTTTTTAGCATAGTATAAGCTATGCATAGGGTACAGATCACAGAAGCAATTCATGAACTCATTCAGCAGCAACTGGAATATGTTTTCTACTGGTTGGAAAATCAGATTCAACAACATATCACAAAAGATGGTGGTTATGTTGAAGTCTAGAAAATTGAGCTGTACTGTATCAAAACGTAATGAATTATGCTTTCAGTCACCATTTACAGTTTGCTTGTATCATGTGTACACCCAAATTTATTAAAGTAAATTTGCAGAAGGACTTTATAAGCACCCTGTGTCTTCCTGTTAATATGTGTGTTATGTTATTTTCTTTTTAGAATTTTCTGTGACATGCTCTAACCAAATTGTTCCATGTATCACTGTTGTATAAAGGAAAACTACCATACTACTCAAATAGAAGGCGAGGGGTCCCTCCCAAACAACATGGGAGAAAAAAGCCCCTCATCTTATATTTGCGTACAAAGTAGAAGGGGGAGCAGGCAGCTGCTGCAACTCTGGCTCTAGCCCTGAACCTAAGTTGGGACCAGAGTTAGATTCACAGAAATCCTCTGCCTCCATTTCTTCTCTGAAGCTTCTGCCACCTGCCCCCACCCTTCCTCCCGCAGCTTGGCTTCAGCTCAGGCAGGGGTCTTTCCCAGGCACAGAGTCTATGGAAACTCCTTCCTCTGTCCAGCCAATCAGCAGCACCAGCACTGCTACATTGCTTGCCTGGCCAATCAGCTGTGCGGACAATGATGCATGGCTAGGCAATGGCTGAGTTTCCATGTGCTGTGCTTTGGGATGGAGCAGCCTGAGCAGCATCTGATGGTTAGGACTGGGGGAGGGGAAAAGGCAGAAACTGCAGAGTGCTGGGAGGAGAAAAGGGGAAGAGACTGGGGGGAGTTTAGGGGAGGGGCAGATGCTGTGGGGAGCCAGGGGCAGGGGAAAGAAGTGGACAAGGAGGCAGTAGGCAATGGGGTCACCTGATGCTCCTTGGCCACTACTTTCCCTGATGTATCAGTAGGGTGATAGTGGGGGTGGGATTCAAGACAATCCTCCAATACTTAGATTCTATACCTAGAAAAATTATAACAAATTTATAAAATTTCCATATATAAAATCTAATTATTGGGGAGTCATCTTATTTTCAGGGTTGTCTTATATACATATACACACACACGCACGCACTTAAATATTTGCAGGATTAGGACCTGAAATCAGGTGATCATATCTGTTGTGTGAACTAGGTAATAAATAAGATGAGCACAATAAAAGTGTAATGCTTTGCACATTAGGTAGCTATTTAAAACTAAAACTATTTAAGTCAGTAACAGCATGATAGGTTGAGACATCAGTATATTAAATCAGACAATTTAATGGACGATTTGTTATGTGCTTTTTGAATACACATAGTTTTCTATAAATAACGTAAAATTTGTTTGTGAAAACGCATGCAATTTGTTCAAATTTTACCTTTTGTTTAAATATGTCAGAACAGTTTTTAATAAAAGGGAAAGTATTCTAAGGGTGCATATAAACATTTGCTACACCAAGTCAACTATCACTCGGGTTGCTGAAGTTGTATGATCATAGGTTGGGAGTAGTGTATGTAGACGTTTACTGGTGCCAGGAACAGAGTATAAGTAACTAGGGGTGGGGGGAAGGATGGGTGGGATTGGGAAGGCTGGCGGGTCTGTGAAGGGGATCAAGGTGTTAAAAATAGCCCAGTAAGGGGGAGAGGTAGGAAGAGTGCAGCCTTAGGGCTGGGATGAGCAACTAGGTTTTCCTGGCCCCAAGGCGGTGCTCCAATTGTGTGCAAATGTTTGCTGTTTACCCATTCCTGATCTAAGTTAGTGAACTAGTGGGTTAACCCAAACTAGCAAACATTTGCACCCAGGTGAACTCAGATCAGCACTACAATTTTTGGCCCAATTTAAATCCACAAACGTCAGCACAGACTAGCATTTGGAATAATCTAACTAGTTAGACTGATCTAAAAGTAATGCCTGCACAGTCGTAATTACTGGATATAGCACTATTGTAATGTTAACAAATACTTCTTAATAGAAAATTTGTGGCAAAATGATTATAATAAAAATGTCACTAAGACCACAACTATGCTATATTGTCACCATAAAAAAAATTCTGTCTGTGACAGTTTATAATCCACCTGTTCGTAAGCACACTAGGTAGAGATAATACAGAATTGGTTGAACATGTAACTTAAAAAATAAGGTTTAAAAAATTGTTTTCTTAAGTAATTTAAATGTTAAAAATATTAAAAACTTAGTATCTTGTGGCCCAATATTTTTAAACATAATTATAAATAAATAGTCTGCTGTGAATAAAACATGTAGTCTACTTTGCTTCCTAATTCATGAAAGGATCTTTAGGTACAAGTCATGTTTTAACAATTACATGATAGATTAGGAAAGCTCTGAAGCAGTTACACCAGGATACTGGGTTTATACTGTATCAAACAGACATAATATTTGAACAACTTCCTTAAACCTCAACATATTTCAGCTCATGTAATTTTGCATCTGTAAATTTGTACACCACTAACCTGCACTTTTGTATGTTCATTATGACATGGATGAGGCAATGGAGCTTTCAGTTCCAAAATACATCTCTCTACCAAGCTAGCATTTACAAGGCTAATGTAAAATATAGGATAACAAAATGTTAGAAATATATACAAGGTAAAATATAGTTCAGTAATTCAGAGTACAATATTTTACAAGGACATTATTATTATCCAAAAACAGTCATACCAGTATAAAACTCTTAATATGAACGTAACTACGCTGGTGCAAAAATACTTGGAAATAAAAAACCCGACTATATCAGTACTACTTCTAGTATGATACATTATTAAATAGGCAGAGAGCTGCTTTTCTTCTTTTCATATTTTGTACAACTAAAAAAAGAGAATTGCACTATGAAGTATAAATCACTTGCTACTCTGAATATCTGACTAGATCATATATTAAATTTTGAAAAAAAGAATCATGAATATCCACCTATTTAGAGATAGTTTGCAATTACAAGGGTAAAGAACAATCTTGTACTAAAAGACTCAACCAAAACAGTGAGAATCACCTATCTGGAAACAAAGACCTATTCTGTGAAGATAAAATTAACATGTGTGTCTATGCTTCTACTGGCTTCATTTAAAAAGCATTTGTGAAACCTCAACCTCAACCCAAAAGCCAATCAATATCAATAACAGTTTTGGTTAGAAACATGGGTATTATTGCTCATTGCATTCTACTTTTTCTCTATTTCTACACTTATTTGTAGATCAGCAGTTATTTATCTCATACCTACTGAGAAGTGGTAATAAGTGTGCTTTTTGGAGTGCAATTCCAGTATCCTTTGGCATGACAGCCAGCAGGTTGTCCAGAAGGCTACATACAGCTGACACAAGAGGAGGTGTGACTACAGCACACTGTTTAGAGAGAACAGCGGACAGGGGAGAATCACATAGACTTGGAGGTGCTGTTGTAGTTGTGTCACTCTGACCTAGAATACAATATTCAAAACAAAAACCAACACTAGATGATAAGGCAGAGCCATTATATGACATAATGAACTACTTCATTTCTCCAAGTAATGAGAAAAACTTCTTTATATACTTTTAAACAATAAATTAAGGGATCTTGAAATAACATGCTAAGCATCATATGATTATTCCTCTAAACTATAGGAAGTCAAACATACAATACTGCTTGACAGACTTTGGAACAAGAGACTAACATAGTAACCAAAGACAGAAACAAAAATGATGAATAAAATATTTGCATGGATTATTTTTTTATTTTCTTACATTTGTAATCATTTATAATAATGTATATAATTTGTGGTAATCTATTTCCTTTAAATAGGACAATTAGCAATGTCCATACATCTGAGAAACCCAATCTCCATGATTATCCTTCTGAGGAAGAAAGATACATATCCATAAAATGTGCAAGATTTTCAAATAAATTCAGAAAATAATTTAATTGCTTTATATAACAATGTGCTTATTTAAAAAATATTTTTCTACTGAGTACTGACACTTTTTTTTTTTTTTTTTTTTTTTATAAGGATGACTGGCATATTAGGAGAGATGAAGAATGACTGAGACAACAACTTTTATAACTGAAGATGATTTATACATGGCATTGATTTATTTAATAAAACTTAGTGTTCTGGAAAGCTGATAGAATGACAACAATGGAATCAGAATTCCAACAAATAGATGCATCTTAAACAAAATCACTACAGGCATCCCTACATAGCCAGAACAATTGAACAGTCCTGTTCCATCTTTAAAAGTAAAGAAAGTTTCTTCACCACTTAACCCTATTTCTTTGCTGGCTAAGTATTGGATATGTTGGCGGGCAAAGGAAGTCTGTTACCAATATAGAAATTTGCCCAATAAAAGCTGATCGAGATAGCTACACCCCACCCCCTCCAAATGAATGCAACTTCTGATCATAACCAACTTGCTTACAGCATGCAAATATTTTAGGTCACTACTTTAAAGACAAGTCTGCTCTCCAAAAAAAATCCTCTTCCCCAAAAGACTGTGCTTAATTTTTTATAACCTTAAGCAGCAGCTGCTAGATACAACATTCATGTGCAATTCACTCCCATTCCATAAAGACACCAGATTTTATCAGCAAATCTTGGGTAACATGAATAATCCATCCTCTCCCTGTGCGCACGCGCACACACACACACACACACACACACACACTCATATACATATATCAAAAGTTTTTAAACACAAAAAGTTAAAATCAAACTCATCTGGTTACCTTGAGCCATAAGTCGATCAACAGGTGTTTCAGGGATAAAGCTAGTCAAATGTGATGAGACAGGCACCTGCAACTCAGCAGCACTTCCTACTGACGGTGATGCAGAAAGGATCTAAGAAACCATGAAAGTAATGTTGTTTATTTATTCCAAAAAATATTAAAAATAAACAGAATAAGCCAATTACAGCTAATTTTTCAGGAAAAAGTGGGGTTTGTTTGGGTTGTTGTTGTTGTTGTTGTTGTTTTTTTTAAATATGTAGTGTTCAAAAGTTGTTTCCCTGAATTCTATCAAAAACAGTTCCCATCTGAAGCACCCCAATTCCAGAAATTCATTACAATTATGCACACTGACCTTTCCCACCTTTTTTTAGCTATGCAAAATGAAACAAAAATCTGCCATAATGGAATTATATTTTTGCCACACTTTTTAAATGTGTTTTGAGTAATTATAGTTAATTATCTAGATGAAGATGGATAATGAGAGGTATCAATGCCTGTCATAAAAATAATTCAAAGGTATATCAGAGATATACTGAATATATTTTTTCTTCTTAAAAATACATGTATTTGAAAGTATAGCTTAATTTAACAATCTATTCAAGATATTTAAATAAAATAAATATTCAAGCAATTAGTTTGCTACTGAAATTTTAAAGAAAGGAGACACTGAACTGATAGAAGTCATTGGTTCACACCTGGAACCAAATTTAATTAATGTGCTAAACCCAGATTTCAACAGCAGTTGCTTCTAGAAGAGGCACAGTGTTCTGCCTTCTCAGGAAGGAAAAATCTTATTCTGTTTAATCCCTAGTTCATACAAAACAAAACAAAACAAAACAAAACAAAACAAAACAAACACTAGGTATGAAAGGATGGACTTTGCTTTCTATGATACTGTGCTTGCTATGGTAAATTTGTGATACAGAAATGATCTAAAATTCTGAAGGATTTAATCAGAAACACCCCAAATAAATATACACAATGACTTACATACAGATAAAACATATCTTCCTCTAGTATCAAAGTGTAATATCAAATTAGACCAGCCAATGTGAGAATAAAATTCACAAAAAATATAACTAGAAAGTACAAATGAAAAACAAAATTAAAAACAAAACTAAAATCAATTATTTAAATCAACCCAGATCCAAAATTTCCGGAAAATGATAATACACTAACATGCGAATGCTGTTACTTGTATTACATTTTTACATTCCCCCCCTCCCCCCCATGCGTTCTGGGCTTAACAGATGCCAGAATCTTATAACGAGGTAAGGTAAATAAGATCCAAGGTAAGTAGAAATCAATAATTTAAAGAACTTCTAAAAATACAACTCTTCAGCTACTTACACTTGTTAAATTTTTATGGTAACGGATAGGAGTTAAAAACGGATTTCTTTTTTAGTTACCCAAGTAAAACACATGGAATAACACAATGAAGTCATTTCACAGTGGCCTTCTCAGGAAGGAAAGTTCTCGCTGCCTTCATAAACTGCCTTTGATAAAGAACTGAGGTTCTGGGACATTATATTCAGTAAAAGCATATCTTTACTACTGCCTCCATCAACCCATGGGGAGTAAAATAAAGCTTTGTTATGGTTTAAAAGCAAAACAAAAGAATTTGAAATGTGGGGGGGATGGAGTGAGGGTTATTTATGAGGCAGCTAATACAACTGGATGGGAAAATGTGCAAAAAGTGCAAAAGAGATTTGACTTATTGGACTTTATCCATCATTACTTATGAATTAAAAATCTTCTTAACCTCCAGTATAAAAATCCCACTGGCATTTCTCTAATAGGTTTTCAATGATTAATTCTAGTCAGTGCTCCATTCAAAGGTTTAAATCATATTATATAGCACTCTGGTAACCAAGGATCCAAACCGTAAGCACACATTTTTATAATATAATGAGAAGATTCCTTAGAGAAGAAAAGCCACAACTGAAAGCTATGGACACATTTGGGAAACGGTTTTAGCTCCTTTAATCTGTACCACATTTGGTATGAGTTGTTAAAAACTGGCCATTCTGATCAGATAAGCATTCTTGAATAAGGAATACATATTCCTTCACGTTTTTATAATGCTGAGCATGGTAAGCTGATGTCTTCCAACACTAATTCTAGATATAAAACATATTAATTATAAGAATAATAGGTGATTGTATTGTACAGTTCTACTACCCAAGCTATAATCTAACAGAAAATCTGAAGATGCAAATCAGAAATCTATCAAATTCCTGTAATGTGAAACTCTGATAGAGGAAGGCAATGCAGACCACTCAAGAGGTCCAAATGGGCCTGGGTTTATTCTCAATTCTGCTGCTGTTTAGTTCTGCAATGATGAATGAATAACTTCATCCCACATCCTTAGTTTCTCTGTCTGTAGAATGCTAATAATTGGACTTGTCCATTTATAAAACACTTTAAGATCTATTAAAGAAAGAGTACTGTATAAGAATTAGGAATTTTTCATTTTGTAAGCCAATTAATTGTGGATTTAAAAAAATCTTAATTTTTTAAAATCAGAGGTAGGGTAAAATAAGATACAAGAAAGAAAGAAAAAAATAACATCACTTTTTTAGAACCTTTGCTTACTTGGTCTTTGATAACAGATAGTAAAATGAAAGTAGGAATTTCATTCCATTAAAAACATTTTTACTCATCAAAAAAAGAGAGCGAAAGAGAAAGATGCCATTAGTTTCTGGAGGTTTACTGAACCAGAAAGCAGTTCCCATAAACAATAAATGACACTCGTAACAGATTAATCTGGAAGTTTTTAAAAAAATTCCATTATAATATCAGAGTATTCCTACTGGCAATTATATTATTTGGTTTGGTAGCTGGCAATTCTTGGCTATTTGAAATCAGTACCACAAAATGTACACTGTAGATGAATGTTTCTATATTTTCTTCTCCAATGAGATAACTGGGCTCTCTCTCAGGTGTGATGGGGAAAGCATGACATCTAGTGGGCTTGGAGTAATTATCTTCTCATTATTTTTAATTGGAAAAAGGTTTTAAAAAACAAAGACTGATATATGTCTTAAGTTCCAAATAACAGCCACTTAAAAGCTAGCTGCCTCTCCCACATCCCCCCCCCCCAAAATGACTTTTTTCATGTTCAGGACTGATCTGGAAAAACCCAACATAGAAGAATTGATAGGAGGCAAGGATTTTTGGAGTGATATCTACTATTGGACCAACTAATCAGGCAGATTATTGTTTGTTTAGTTTCACTAATGTCATTGCCATGAGGGCATTTGGTGCATTGGATCAGATTTATCACATTTGAGGGAAAGCATGTATAGGAACCAGTGATTCTTATGGATTCACTAGTCAATTGCCCGTCAAGAATGACGGGGGGGTGGGATGGGGAAGGGAGCAGGGGAGTGGCCAGAGGCACGTGTATGCCTCCCACCCCCCTGTGTTTCAGGTCTAGCCCTACTCCCCCATCTCCACCCCTCCCCTCTTCTCCCCAGTCTAGGCCTGTTCCCACCCTACCTCCCTTTTCAGTCTGGGCCTATTCACCCTCACCCCTGTGCTCCGGATCCAGCGCCACTCCCCCCACCCCACGCTCTAGGTCCACCCAGCCCATGGCCACCTGCCACCTCTTCCCGCTCCCCTCCCTCCCAGCTGTTGGCAGGGTCTTCTGGCAGAAGCAGCAGAGCACAGCCACCATGCTCCCCCTCCCTCTCCCTTCTGGCTTTTATTGGGACCTGGCAGCTCAGCATCTGGCATTGCCCCCATTTCTTGTTCTCAGCGTTGCTTGAAGGGAGCAAGCCGAAGCCAGCGCCTCACCTCCCCCATGCTCTGAAAGGTTCTCACTGCCACTTTGCCGTCATGGTGGCGCTCCATTATGCCGCCTCCTGTTGAATGCTTGTGGAGCACTCCAATTGGCTGTTTCAGTCAGCCAATCAGACTGCAAATAAAGCATTATGGACAGACAGACAGGCAGACTAAGGCTTTTATAATATTAGAATTGTGCAGGTGTTAATTGTTGCAGCCATGGAGACATGCTGACAAGTTAGGCACCTATTGTTACGGCAAGGCTATGTCCCATTTGATGTCTACTGAACAGCGGGGAATTTGCTTCTGATGACAAATTTGGGCAAGGTTAGGAGATTGTTTGAAAGGCAGGATAGATGTCCAAATATCAGTAAGGACAAAGTTTTTTGGTTTTTTGTTTTTTTTTTTAAACAGAAAAACCACTCCCTTCCAGACCTCCTGAAGCTTATGCTCAGGTGAAATCTACCCAACACCTTGAAAAGGCAAGTTTGGGAACAAAAATTCATCAGCTGGCTAGACACTAGGAAACAATGACTACATACTGAATACTGAAAGTAAAGACATTCAAGAATGTTAGATCAAGTTAAAAATGGCAACCTGGTCTAAGATAAGTTCA